TTAATACGTAATGCATACATTATTGTAAAGAATTTCAAGCACTATAGTAATTAATTTTTTTTATAACTATATTCTGTGCGCTAACTAAAAAGTTTAGTCCCATTTATAGAGGTTTTACTGTAAAATCTTACAGTATTCCTTGCACAGCACTATGACATATTCTTTTTTTTTACGATCTAAAAATACATTACTCTGAATTACTTGAATTCCTTAAGACCGCTTATCCTATTCCCTTTTAAACCCCATATCTTCCAAGGGCACGTAAGGATAATTTATCTCTTTTATCCCTGGTGTCACCAACAATTTGGAAGAGTATCGTGCTAGAGATAACTAATTTTATTTTATTATTTTTGATTAGATATTAGGCTAAGTCAGTCGGAAATAAATACAGTCTAACACAATAATGACAAATCAAAGCTTTGTTGAAATAAGAATGTGAAACCTAGGATCAAAAGTTAAAATAAGTATATTGTAGTTAGTGCATGTTGGCAAAAAGTTTTGAACTTTAGCACAGCCCTTTTATATTTTGTTCAGCATCATATTCGAAGAGGTGTAACCAGTTTATAATTTACGCATCAAATTGAAGTGCACATAACGAATATAGTTATAAAAAAAATTAATTACTATAGTGCTTGAAATTCTTTACAATAATGTATGCATTACGTATTAACCTAAAAAAGTATAAAGATTACTTTTATTTCACAGCAAGATTTTAATACAATGCAATGAAAGTCTGGTACATCATATCATTAAAAACTAAAAAATTAATGTTAAGTGTAAAAGTGGGATATTGAATAATTCATATTGCACATGTGAATTGGAGCCAGAATACTTACGGAGTATTATTTAAGTGTAAATAATCCGCCGATAAATGTGAACATACAGGAAATGCCACAGTGGAAATGCGTACGTTATCAAAAACGAAATTTAATATTATTAATTAAAAATATTTAAATCTAATCAATCATTTAGCGACGGGGTTTAACATCTATATAGTAAGAAATTAGATTTCTTAAAAAGGTGAAAATAGAATTTTTAAAATAATAGTGACAAACTATTTGGAACGTCCCAAACTGTGTGAGGAATAGTATTATATAGTTTTTGCAATAAAAAGCCACCTAATGTGACACTAGTCATCACATAGTTTAGAATGTCTTAAATAGTTTGCACTCATATTCGAAAGATCGAAATATACTCTTTATTAAGGTCAAAGGCAATAGTTTATATACAATTATATACACTACATTGAATTACATATGGTGGATCCTTTCTTATTTCACAATTTTCGCCTTATTTCAATCTCAATTTAATCTCATTTTTCACGTGATCTTTTCTTAGCACAAGACACGATCAGTTATCTAGTAATAAAAAATAAATAATTGACAAAATAAGAAATAAAAACAATAAAAATTCACAAATCCGACTATTTCTTCGGTCTCCTGTCCCATCATAAGCGTTCAATATTAACAATTACTTCACGTGTAAAATTTGGGTAATAATCTTCCAATTGTGATTTTTGTTTTCTTTACATATTATAGTAGTATGATGAAATAAATATAACTAACATTCCATAGATGAAAGTAACTATTTTAGGATGTCGGTGTTGGAACTGCAGCTGGAGCTGCCGTATCTGATGGCGCCGGTGCAGCTGGAGCTGCCGTATCTGATGGCGCCGGTGCACCTGTCGGTGCTGGTGCTTCAGTTGCTGGTGGTGGATTGGCATTTGGCGGTGGAGTGGTATCTGGTGATGGATTGGCATCTGGTGATGGATTGGCATCTGGTGATGGATTGGCATCTGGTGATGGATTAGCATCTGGTGCTGGTGGATTAGCATCTGGTGCTGGTGGATTTGGTGCTGGTGGGTTTGCTGCCGGTGGATTTGCTGCTGGTGGATTTGCTGCTGGTGGCACAATTACATTACCCTCATTATTAACATTAATTGGAGTATTAGTCGAACTACCACCAGTAGAACCAACTTGAAGATATAATCCACTTTCTGGCCCTTGATCAGTAAGTGCACGTTTTCCATGCTTTCTACAACTATGATCTGCTTGATGATAAACTCCTCGTCCATCACAATCCCAAGTTAAATCATTAATCTTAACCACCCACCCCATCGTACCCCAATTTTCATCATTACAGTTTTCCTCCGCATTTCTTCTTCCCTTTTTATGGTGAGAGCCATAATTGCTATGACTATTGCTAGAACATGAATCACATTTATTCCACTCTATTCCCATCTCACTTGTAAGATCATAAAGACTATTATTACAACTATCAACAATTGAAAAGAAATAAGAATTTTTTTTAGGATTAAATCCAGTTTGATAAAGACCAGATAACCATAATGATCCAGAGTTATCTTGATAAAATGTCATTTGACCCATATATTTGTCCATGGAAGTAGCGGTAAGCATATAGGGATTACACATGCCTCCTTTTGAGTTCTTTGAATCATGCGGATCGTGATGTGGTGGCGGTTCGTCCTGGCGTATTTTTTGGATAGCCTCAGTAAATGAAATTAAAATAATTAAAAGAATTGAAAAAAAAAGTTTAATATTCAACATTTTGAATCGTGAATCGTGAATCGTAAATAAAATGTGGTTTTTGATCGAGCTGAATTAATTTTAAAATGAAACCTGAAATTGTTGAAATTGTTGCTGAAATATTTTATTTTTTACAAACAAAATATCTGATCAAAATTAGTAGAAATAATGCCTTTATATATATTCATTTTATATTGTAATTCATTCCACATAGAGATCGCGCGGTCTGTCATTGAAAGTACTAAAACTATAGCTAGTGTTACAGCAATCTAAGCTAAGCCATCTAAACAATACTTTGACAAGCTTAAAAAAAGTTTTATCCGGTCCTACACTACTGATCAATGATTGGCATTGCTCTAATGCTGCAAAAACAAATAATTCTCGTAGTGGCAATCATTGATCGACATTAAAAGATTTTTAACTTAATTAATTAGCTTTAACACAAATTTTCGTATTTCTAGTAAACTATTGGTTTAAAGCTGATTGCATTAAGACATATCGGCAGTAATTCTATTATTTGTAATCAGCAGATCAGCTGGAAGGCTTAGTTGAGGCTTTTGTCATACTAATTTAATGTAATTTAGCTGAACATCAAAACCGATTTGAATGTAAATAATCGACTTAACTGAAATCTTTCCAGTTACTACGGGCTCATAACGATGGCATTTGTCTTATATCAAGGGTTATAGCAACTTCAAACATGGTAGATCTATTTTCGCCTTAAATCAATTTTAAAGTTTTGCAGCATTTATATAATCAATTCAGATATCCTGAGAACTATTTGGAATTTTACCGATTGCCATAGATCGTAGCATTGGATAATCCAAAATCTTCAAAATAAGAAATAGCGGTATTGTAAGATGGCTTATTTCCAATAGATGTGATAACTTTATAATATTGATAATTGGAAAATTTCCAATTTTCCAATCAATTTTTATTGGTTCCTTAATTTAAGCCAAAAATCCAAAAACTGAATTTACCGTTTCAAATTGCATCATGGAGTGTCTTGTATATGCCGTTCTTGAAGATAGAATGCAAGAAAGTCTAAATCCCAGGAGCTAATTTCAGCATCAAGCAAGTTTTAGCTTCGGTCACACTGGTTAATTCTGGTCTAACCAATGCAAGTGAAGCAACTCGGTTCTATGATCTAACCATGGTCTAATCGGTTCAAAAATTAGCTTGTTATTATAGAATATCGATGTATTAAACCATATAAAGCATCTTTACTAACGTTAGTGTAATGTTATTCATGAACTTTTTTTTATACATAGCACTAACTTTATGAAGTCGAATCAACTCAATCCCGGAAGATACAGTGGCTTCCCTCTCTCTTAGTAAAAACAAAATTTTCGGATATACATATATCCCTTACGCCGTTTCGCAGGCAAATTTGCCTGCGAGTTGCATTTTCTCAGAAAATCATAATTTAAGGGTATATGACATCATAAGAAGACTAAATCGTTGGGTTCAAGGGTCTTCAGAAAATGTTATTCTTTTTAGCACACAGTTTCTCGATTCTTTTATTTCTTCGCTTACCTTTTTGAGGCCCTTAAGAAATCACATTCTTGTACCACCTCAAGTATACAAAATGTCTGATGTGTTATTACGTCATCGGAACTTAACAAATTATCAGATATATTAAGGGTAGAGTATACGTAGATCATTTATCATATGATATGCATGGCAATTTTTTTTT